GCACAACACAACTTTTCATCACACGGCATTGGCAACATTAATCAGCATAAACAACATTCAGCACAGCTCAGCTTAATAGTACAGCCTATCGTCTTACAGCACTTCTAAGCATCTTACAGCAATATACACCTAACACAGCTCAACATCCTCAAACAACAATTTCAGCTAGTCATCCCATCATATTCCTCAATTTCGGCTTAGTTCAGCATAAAACAATATTATCAGCAATTCAGCATATAACTTCACATCCTCATACGCGCTCAGCGCACTCATGGTCGCGCCTGGCGTGGCACAACCAGAGGGCTCCAGGGGCCAGCGCGCCCGGCACAAGCGTGCCTGCGCCCGGCAAGACTTAGTCAGAGTCCAAAGCTCGTAATCGACTCTCGAACCCAACTTTAATTTTAAAGATTATTTTTTAAAGGGTTTTCCAATATTTTTCCCTTACAATAAAATATTGGTGGCGGCTCCATTGAATATAAAAATGTTAGCGTCATCCCGTCGTGATCCCGGTTACGACATGACCCTCACCACCTTTATAATTTGTCTTTTTCACATATTAAAACATAAACGTATATAATACGTATTCATCTTTAGTTTGAACTTTGAAGTAGGAAAGTTTAAAATTATTAGGGATGAAAGCGTGGAGGTTTGGACACTAAAGTACTCAATTGCACGTTTTAAAAAAAATACACATCTTTTGGGACTCTCTTCTATTTGCGGATAACAATTAATGCATACCTCTGTATCCTATGGATACTTACCCATATCTATACCTAGACTTGTTACCTGCATTTTATATCAAAGAAAATGGTATTCGATATCTCATCTATAAAGGAGCAGCTGACAAACGATACTCCTCATCCAGCGAATTTGAATAATGATGAAATATTAGACAATAAGAGTTTTACTTATATAAACATATAGTATTAAATTTAATTTTAAAATTAATGCAAGTTTGAGGCATATTAGGTAATAACGTATCCATACTTGCCCATTTCCTTAAAAATTTACTACCCATATCTCAATCTGAATTCATTTAATAGATAATTCTCGTAGATAATATTTGTGAATACCCACTTAATTTAAAACCTTCGTCATCCTTAAGTTAATTTAAAATTAAAATATTAAAAATTTCAGATTATGTCGCCAAGTTTTTCGATACGTTTATAGTAATGTTAAAAGAAAGTAGATAAAATAAATCATCCAAAGACTACCAAAAGACATAGAATTAGCAGTTATAGTTTCCAGTCTTAAAAGGGAAAGAAAAAAAAAAACGCCCGTAATATCATAGTCAACATGTATAAATTTTCATGTCAAATTTGAATTTAAACAGAATTGAGATTTTGGTCAACTGTCAGAGTGGCAGGTAATGACCAACCACAACCACTGCATATTACTAATAGCGATAACTGAATAATAAGAATTCCCGGCAATGAGTCAAAAATTACAAATGTATTACACTAACAAAAGTATAAAAGATAAAATAAAGCAAATAAAATTGATAATGAATTTCATAAATCTTTCAAGAGCCGAAAAAGAGTTAGTTTTTATATAAATTTACAGTAGATAAAATACAAGGGAACTTTTTTACCAATTTGCAACTGTTAAACAGCAAGCAATTAACTTCGGTCCTACTTTGTATTTTAAAACACTGAAAACAAGTTTTGCAAATGTTGGGTTTGGAATGAAAGCAGACCGACCAGTTTTGCGTTCAATTCTCACAGCCTCTTTCTGTTTTATATTATCTATTTTCCCGAGTGTAAAAATAATTTACTTGGGCTTCTTCCGCATGCCCATCCGTGATTTAGCATATCTGAGGTTCTTGTTAAGAAATACCACACATTGATAAGTAACGAGATTCAAAGAAAAATCCATGAGAAAGAAAACGCAGACCAAAGGATACTCTAAACGCATTCCCTCACCAGCTGGTGAGGAGTGAAGAATGGTGCCTTGCAGACTGTTTAGAGCCTCAGAAGAGCTACCGACATCCTGCACATACAGTAAGCAATTACGCTAGGGCATTACAAGATATATTTTCATGACTGTTCAGAATAAACCTCCAAATAAAATCATGCAAATCAAAGATGACAAGCAACAGGACACTGAATCCCATTCATCATTGCACACATTTAGTTTGATTTTTTAACTAAACGCAGACAGAGAAGCCCTGGGGAATCCATTGATAATTGAAAATTGAAACGGGAAGGTGCTTAGTGATAAAATACTCTGGTTTATTTGTCATATGCTGCGCAAAAAATAAAAGAAGAAAAAAGAAACCTGGAAATCAACAAATGCAACTGGAGCCCCATATGTGCTCTGCATCTTCAGTTTCAAAAATCCAGGGAATCTGAATGAAGAGAGATATATATAAAAAAATTTAAATTAAATTCAACTTCTACACATTTTAGAAATATTAAAATACCTCAGTCAAACATGTTCACTGACCTAGAAAACACTTGTATTAGCTCTTGTTCACTACAAGATGGCCCCAAATTAGCTACAAATAAAGTTGCGCATGGGGTTGAGTTTTGTGGAATGTAAGGAGTTGAACTCTTCTTCTGTCAACATAAGATAAGAAACAAAGCAATAAGGTAAATCACAAAAGTTTTAAAATTAAATACAGCACTACCAAATACATACGACATTGGGAGGGGGGGGGGAGGAGCATTATATTCAAACATGAGAAACATATTGATATACATATTGCATCAAAATAACCACATTATATTAAGAGTTAATCACCTATACACTACCAGTGTAAAGTTCTTTTACACTGACAGTCAATCAGAGTCGTTAATAGTGTCTTTTCATCTGCTCATTTAATTAAATTAAAATAAAAAAGGCACTATTAACGGCTCTGATTCACTGTCAATGTAAAAAAATTTACACTGGCAGTGTATAAGTGTTTAACTCTTATATTAATGGCAAACAAATGGTTAGTTAAAATTGAGCAGCCTAATCAACGAACTATAAAGGACCTGAACATTATACAGTTTAACCACAAGTTTCAACACAGCTTGAAAAATGAAGCTTATGAAGCATAGGAATACAAGATAAAGTTTACACTCAAGGGCACAGCTCAAGTGGAACCAAGTCCCTTGGAAAACTGTTGGATCCCACAATAGAAATTTTGACTACATTTTAGCTTACCATCTTCCATCCCAAACCAACTTGAAGGACGGCTTTCATCATATCCCACCCCAAGGACCATTTAATTGCTTAGTTGTCAAGAAAAGAATCATAGTGTGTTTTGTTTAGTGGTAGAAAAACATGGTGGGTACAAAATCATGGTATGTTCACCACAAAGGCTACTATTGTTGCTTCCAAAAATCATGGCAAGTTTAACTCACCACCAATCCAAACACACTCAAATTAGTGCAAAACGAGGAGAAATTTTCAGTGTTAGGTTGGAAAGCAGGAAAGACATTTGTTAGGAAAATTGGAGCATGGAAACGATGGAGATTAAATCCCCTCTCTCCTATTTATTCCCTCCTATTTTTCTCTCGCTTCAAATATTGGGGGATGTGAAAGGAAGGGAAATTTGTTTATAATATTTGACTGTTACTGTGATGACTAAAATGTCTCAAGATTTTATTTTACCTCTCATATCATTTAGTACAATTATAAGGGTAAAACTGTATATTAGTCATATTTTCTCTCTCTGCCCTTTGTGAACCACTGAAACAAACAAACTATTATGTGTATACTAGCAGCAACGATAGAGCACTACTAATTGTATAAAAGTGGCAAAAGGGAACATAATGCATGACTCGATAATAATTATTGTTATATGATGTATATTGTTAACACAGAGAAATGCAAATATAAAAACAGGAAAAGAAAAAGGAAGTCAGATTTCTCATGCCTCAGATATTTATTGAAACAAAAAGAGAGATGCATTCTCACTTTTGGCGAAGTTTTCCTCCAAAGCCAATGAAAGGGATGGAGAGAAGAAAAAAAAAAAGGTTTCAAATTCAATTACAGGCTGCAACAAAAAAAAAATTGAGACACATTGCAATCCAAAGCACTTTCAATTTAACACAGATAAATAACAGCCAGAAGCACATAATAGTGGAAGATTTCTCAAGGTGATGCAGCAAAAAGATATGTCGAATACTTTATAATACTAACCAGATTTGCAAATAGACCGTCACTCAAAGCACTTCCATCAGCATTCCCGATACTTTAACAGAAAATAAACAAATCAATAATCAGATGAGATAAAAAGAAATACAAAGACAACAGCTCCCCCCCAAAAAAAATATCATCACTTAGAACACATTAGCTATATTCTTCTAATAGAGAGTTCCCCAACAGAAGCTCAAAATAACTTCATAAGTTTAGAAAATGTGCTTTATCGGAGTTCGAAGCAATCAACTTCCACATAATAAAACTGTGATTAAGTAGTGCAGATGACCTTTGTGCAGATGGATAACCAAACGTGTTCATGTTGAAAGCAGGATTACCCATTCCAGGCATGTGAATGCTGCTAACACCTGCTAGTGCCGAAGAGTGCAAAACATGTGCAATGTGAGCTCATAGTTAAAAGTGTTCTTGGTGTGATCAATAGTTAACTGGCCTCCAAACACAACAGACAATGAATTGAACATAACACAGGTACACAACAATAGTAAACTGAGAAAAATAACATCCTAGAAGCCATATACATAGACAAAATCAGTGCTCTAAAACAAACAAACAAAATCATCTCACCAGAATCCCATGATGGTGTGAGGCCCCTAGCTTTCTTATCCGCGCCAGCCCTCTCATCATCTGCTTGTCAAACACAATCAATCAACAAAGTTTAACTGGAAGCTCTTACTATATAAGGTTTCATAAATTACAAAAAATACTATTCAAAACACACACCAATCCTTGTGCGCTTAGATCTAGAATTTGATTTTGCCAGATCAATATACAGAGTGGAACCCTTTTCAAGATCAAAAACCATCCCCTGCAAACCACATTACTCAAAATCAATAATCCCACTCGTGGAAAAATGCATTGGAAACACACAAAGAGTTAAATTACGATAAGATCCTCACATTCAGAGCATGCATTGCCATGATCGCCGTCTGCTGGCTCGCGAACACAGCAAAAGCAAAAGGCTGCCAACACACAAAAACAATGTCAGAGAAGTAATCCAAAACAATCCCTCGAACAAGAAAATCAAGAATCCATTGAACCTGCGACGAATTGGTGGGGCTCCGAAGATGCGATGACTCGTAACCGGGAAATTCGCGGAAGAGGTTGTAGATTTCGCGTGGCTTTACGTCTTCGGGGAGGCCAGCCACGAAGAGAGTGCGAACCTCGTTGCTGGAAGATTGAGGAGCACCGTAAGAACCGAACACCGTTTGTTGCTGATGCTGAGCCGCGTACGGCGGATGCATGTGGTGCGCCGGCGGGACAACCGCGCCGGGGGGCGGTGGCACCACCGCCATTAGCGGCGG